GAGAAATTCATTAGGTAGAGGAGAAAGTCATAAGCTTTATTATTTTTGTCTTTGTTTTTAATCATGAAATATTTCATACATAAATGTGTCTTTCATCTAGAAGTTTGATTTGAATCTCTTTTTAAAAAATATTTTCCATGTCTGTAGTTAACTTTTGAACACCTGAAATTTAGTTATAATAACTGCTGTATCTGCTAATTCTCACACCTTTGTCAGTTGTGGGTTGGTTTCCATTGGATAATGGTTTTCCCCTTGTACTGGATCACACTGTCCTGCCTATTTGTATGCCTAATACCTAAAAAGTAGCATGCTTTATTATTTAAATGAAAAAAATTTAGGTAAGTAATACATGTATTTGTTGCAAAAGGTTTATAATGAAAAATAAATAAATCTCCCTCCCATACTTCTTTCTCCTGGTACCCCATCTCCCCTCTCCAGAGACAAACAGAATTACTCATTTCCTGAATGTCTTTCTGAATATGGCTTATAATATACATAATTGTTGGAGGAAGAAATGGCAACCCACTCCACTACAGTCTTGCCTGTAGAATCCCATGGACAGAGGAGCCTGGTGGGCTACAGTCCATGGGGTCACGAAAGAGTCGGACACGACTGAAGTGACTTAGCACATACATACTTGCGTGTGTGTGTAACAATTTTTTAATTGCCTGTATTTAAAATGAACAAAGCATATTATTAATAAAAGCTCTGGGAAGTACTGCAGTAAAGAACCTATTTAACTTCATCAGTGAATCCTAAACATACTTGACTTCAGGCCCCCTTCTTTTCTTCTTTATTGTAATTTCTGGTCTGTGGAATGTAGCCAGGACTTGCTGGTATGGCTGGATCAGGTGTTTCTGAAGGGCGTCTGTGCTGAATGGTCTCTGAGCCATGCTGGTTGTTAAATATTGTAAATGTCACACCTCAGAATATACTTCATTAAAAGACTGCCTTCCAATGTTTTAGAAAATGTGAAATGTGTGGGTGAGTTCTTGCAGAGGCAGAAATAACGGGTCCAGGTTAAGGAAAGACTGAAGGAGGTGAGAGTAAGGCTAATTTATATTTAGTTGAATTCAGTTTCAGATTAGTACGGGGAAAAATGCCAGGAAACGGCTGGCTTCAATTTGTGAGAGAAGATGGTCACGAGAAATTCATTAGGTAGAGGAGAAAGTCATAAGCTTTATCATTTTTGTCTTTGTTTTTAATCATGAAATATTTCATACATAAATGTGTCTTTCATCTAGAAGTTTGATTTGAATCTCTTTTTAAAAAATATTTTCCATGTCTGTAGTTAACTTTTGAACACCTGAAATTTAGTTATAATAACTGCTGTATCTGCTAATTCTCACACCTTTGTCAGTTGTGGGTTGGTTTCCATTGGATAATGGTTTTCCCCTTGTACTGGATCACACTGTCCTGCCTATTTGTATGCCTAATAATTCTTGATTAGATGTCAGACAGTGTGAATTCTGCCTTGCTGGGGGTGGATACTTGTGCATTGCTATAAATATTCATGAGCTCTGTTCTAGGACATAGTTAAACTACTTGGTAGCAGTTTGATCCCTTTGGGTCTTGCTTTTAAGACTTATTTGGAACTTGAGAGGGATCCTACACAGATCTCCAGCATCCCCTCTCTGTGGTCTTCTGTCCTCTCTGGCCTCTGTCCTGAAAACTTCAGTTGCCTTGATCTTCCAGACTCTTGTCTCTATCTCCTGAACTCAGGGAGTCCCCTCCTAGCCCCTTGTTCTGATATGTGGCTGGAATTTTGTTCATGGACTTTAAGCCCTAATCCTTTCTCTTTAAAGTTTTAAAGACAGTGACTCCTGTTCAGATTCAGTCTATCAATGGTATGTTTTGTTATTTTGGGCCTTTTCCTCCCAACTTTTAACTAGAGAACTTCTTAGAATGTACTTTAAGGAAATTCTCTTAAAGATAAAGTACTGGTCTGGAGTTAAATTCTTATCACCTTTGGATTTACAAAATTAACCCAGGGACAAGAAAGATTACATGCCACATCTTATGCTTATAAAATACAATATGATTTTTAAAGTTACAACAATGCTCTGATACTTGACAATAAAGAAATACAGCTAGGAAAAAAAAATCAATTAACCGTTTCTCAAGAAGTCAATAGCAAGTTGACTATAGTTCCAAGTCAAAATTTCCAAGCATGAATCTTCTAGGGGAAGACAGAAGGATTTTTTCCCCCTCTCATTTGTACTTTAGTTCTTAATTCATAGAATTAGGAACATAGGATAGGGACATCAAAAAAAAAAAAAAAAGACAAAAAGAGCTCATACAGCTCAATATATATACATACACACCCAATCAAAAAATGGGCAGAAGGTCTAAAAAAGCATTTCTACAAAGAAGACATACAGATGGCCAAAAGGCACATAAGAAGATGCTCAACATTGCTAATTATAAAAGAAATGCAAATCAAAACTACACCTCACATGGGTCAGAATGGCCATCATTAAAAAGTGTACAAATAATAAATGGTAGAGAGGGCGTGGAGAAAATGGAACCCTCCTACTCTGTTGGTGGGAATGTAAATTGGTACAGCTACTATGGAGAATAGAATGGAAGTTCCTTAAAATACTAAAAATAGAGCTACCATATGATCTTGCAAACCCTCTCCTGGGTATATATCTGGAGAAAACAACAATTCGAAAAGATACATATGCTGCAATGTTCACAGAAGCACTATTTACAATAGCCAAGATGTGGAAGCAACCTAAATGTCCATCAACAGATGAATGTGCTATATATACACAATGGAATACTACTCAGCCATGAAAAGAATAAAATAACTCTATTTGCTGCAACATGGACGGACCTAAAGATTAACATACTAAGTGAAATAAGTCAGATAAAGACAAATACCGGTATGCTATCACTTATACTCGGAATCTAAAATATGATACAAATGAACTTATTTACCAAACAAACAGATTCACAGACACAGGAAATAAACTTATATTACCAAAGAGGAAAGGGGGTAAAGGAGGGACAAATTAGAAGTTTGGGATTAACAGATACACATATTGTATATAAAATAGACAACCAATAAGGACCTACTGTATAGCACAGGGAACTATACTCAATATTTTGTAATAACCTATAAAAGAAAAGAATCTAAAAAAATAGATCTATATGCATGTATAACTGAATCTCTTTGTTGTACATCTATACAGGAAACACTGTAAATCAATATATTTCAATAAAAAATATACAAGGAATAATTAAAAAATCCCAGTATCTTGACAGCCTTCCTTCCCTCCATTTATACATTTTAAAGACATTTAAAATTCTTACATATATTAAAGATAGAAAGGTATCTCAGACAATATGCTAGGACAAGGAAGCCATTGATGGATTCCAGAACTAGACTCGCATATTTCCACCACTTGTAGAGGCATTTAACAGGAGTTGGAAATTAAGAAACAAGGACTCAGATTGAGCAAAAATACTTAAATGCCCCAGGCAAAAACTATTTAGTAGTACAAGTATCCAAATGAAAGGCAACAAATTAAAATCCCTTTTGATTATCCATCTTTCGCTACAACTACATATTAAGAGGAAATGGACCTGCTTATTTGAGTTATAGACTTTATTGTAGAGATGACTTCTCCATGTCTTTCTCTTACATTCTAAACTCTTCAGTAGTTCTCTTAGCATTATTTGGTAGACAGAAGTAAATTTTTCAAAGGCCTATATATTTATTGTTATCTTTTGGAATTTCCACCACTGTAGAGGCATTTAACAGGAGTTGGAAATTAAGAAACAAGGACTCAGATTGAGCAAAAATACTTAAATGCCCCAGGCAAAAACTCTTTAGTAGTACAAGTATCCAAATGAAAGGCAACAAATTAAAATCCCTTTTAATTATCCATCTTTCGCTACAACTACATATTAAGAGGAAATGGACCTGCTTATTTGAGTTATAGACTTTATTGTAGAGATGACTTCTCCATGTCCTTCTCTTACATTCTAAACTCTTCAGTAGTTCTCTTAGCTTTATTTGGTAGACAGAAGGAAATTTTTCAAAGGCCTATATATTTATTGCTATCTTTTGGTAATTCCTTAGTCAGATTCTTATTTTCCACCAGGTGGCCACTCAACATCATTTCACTTATACCATTTAAAAGCATTTAATTATACAAGATATTGAAAGATCTGTTTTGGTCTAGAATACAGGGTTTAAGAGCATAAAATAAATGACCTCCGTAGCTTACTTCTAAAATTATTCTCCATGCATTTATCAGCAAAAAGGAACACTGTAGAATTACATGTGTGAACATCAGACACTAAATATGCCTTTGTTTAGAGAAAAAACTCCATCTCTAAAACAACTCCAATAAATAACCAGCCAAAAATCCTCTACTTAGAGTTATCCACTCACTGAACACCATCACCATCAGGATCTGTTCCCCGTTTTTCTTTCTTACATCACGTCCACTACATAGACATACACAATCACACTAGGCATCATCTAGGTTTACTATGAAGTTCTCTGACAATACCACATTCCCTCATGACTCCATGTTTTTGCAGAGGTAATTGCTTCTTAGAATTCCTTTAGTCTTTGTGGACCCACATGTCATCCTACACCTGCCTTCTAATTTGTTTATATTCATAGCAGATACTTGAATTGATTATACTCAGGATAAATGAGAAGCTGTGATACTAAGAATGTAAAGTAAGTTTTCTGTCTTTTGGATTTAATTACGTTTGGATTGGCAGTGAAGAAATCGCCATTGGGGAAATCTCTCACTGTTGGTTCAGCTGGAGGCTGGAAAAGCAGAGGATCATTCCTAATCTTGAAACTAAGCCGGGATGCTAATTTCGCCTTCTGCGAAACAGATGATTTAAGTTGTCCTTAAGAAGGAAAATAACTCAATATGCTAAAACTGGCATGAAACAAGTTCAGTGAGAATTATGATGAAAGATTTCATCTATTTTAAACTTGCCTTCGTTAAGCAAAAACCAAACTTTACCTCTTGAAATGATTCACCAGGACTCCAACCAGTTCTCCAATTCGACTCTCGTGGGTTGGCTGTTTGCTGAAGAGGCAGACAATTAGGTCTTTGTTGTCTTTTGTGTGGAACACGACAAGTTGGTCCTTTCCATTGGAGACGCTGAGACCGGTCAACTGCAAAGAAGTAGAGCATGGAAAACTGTTAGGATGGTTCTCAAAACAAGGAATTTAGACAGTTTATAATGGTTTTACTCAGTAATACTGGTGACATTAATCTTTATCAAGTTTTATGAAACAAGCTGGTGGAAAGAAATAATAAAGAACAAAAATTAATGAAATTAAAAGTAGAAAAACAATAGTGTAAAATCAATGAAACAAAGAGTTGGTTCTTTCAAGAGATAGGCGAAATTGTTAAATCTCTAATTTGAAAGAATAAAAGAGAGAAGACCTAATGAACCATATCAGGAATGGAAGAGGGGCTATTACTATAGACCACATAGACATTAAAAGGATAAAAAAGGAATATCTACAACAACTTAATGCATAAAATTCAACAACTTAGACAGAACCAAACCATTCCTTGCAAGCCACAAACTACCAAAACTCACCCAAGAAGAAATAGATAACCTGAAGCTTACTTTATCTATTGCAGAAATTAAATTTGTAGTTAAAAACCTTTCAAAAAAGAAAACTCCAGGCTCAGATGATTGCACTGGTAAACTCTACCAAATATTTAAAGAAGAAATAACATCTATTCTCCATGTCTCTTCTAGAAAATGGAAGAAAAGGAACACTTTATAACTCATTTTATGAGCATTGTCCTGAAACCAAAAATTGACAAAAGCAATACAAGAAAAGAAAACTAAAAACCAGTATCCAATATCCTTCATGAACATGGATTTAATTAGACTGGCCAACAAAATATCAGCAAATCAAATCCCAAACTACATAAGAACAATGTCACATCATGACCAAGCGGAGTTAATCTAAGAAATGCATAGCTGGTTTTGTATTAAAAATATCAATCAATGTAATCCATCATAGCAACAGAATAAAAAAGAAAGCCACATGATTATATCAACTGACGCAGAAAAAGCATTTGACAAAATTCAACATCCATTCATGAAATAAATCTCTCAGCAAAAAGGATTAGAAGAGAATTCAACCTGAAAAATGACATCTACCAAAATGCCACAGCGAACATCATACTAAGCGGTGCAAGACTGAACGCTTTTCCCAAAGATCAAGAGCAGTGTAAGGATTTCTGCTTTTACTGCTGCTGGGCACTTTCATACTGGAAGCCCTAGCCAGTGCATCAAGGCAGGTTTAAATAAGTTAAAAGGCATATAAATTAAAATGGAAGAAACAAATGACTTTATTTTCAGATGATATGATTGTCTATGAAGAAAGTCCCAAGGAATTTACAAAATAGCTCTTAGAACTAATATGTGGGTTTGGCAAGGTCACAAATACAAGGGCAACAGATAAAAATATTTCTATATGCCAGCAATGAAAAACTAGAAACAGAAATTTAAAACCAAAACCATCCACAACTCCCAAACCAAAAATACTTAGACATAAATCTAACAAAACGTGTGTATGATCTGTAAGCTGAGAACTACGAAAGGTTGATGAAAGAAGTCAAACAAAAATGCTGATGACAGGAATAAAAGAAAATCTAAAAACGTGGAGGGAAATAATGTGTTTATAGGTTGAAAAACTCAATATGGTTGAATACTATCAATTTCCCTCAAGTCAATCTGTAGATTTAATTCTGACCAAAATTCCAGCAGAATTTTTGATAGATATCAACAAGCTGATTCTAAAATATAGATGGAAAGGCAAAGAAACTAGAACAGCAAAAGCAATTTGAAAATAAAAAAAAGGACTTACAGTAGCTGATTTTCTTACCACAAAGTAAGAGTAATCAAGAAAGGTAATCGTCAAAAAGATTGTCAAAGGAATAAAAACGTAGATCAGTGGGAACAGAATGGAGAATCAGATATAATCTCACATAAATATGACTGATTGATTTTTCACAAAAATGCAAAAGCAATTCAATGGAGAAAGGATCATTTGAGCATTTGGGTAACTCAGCATTTCTTGGGATTTGAACACCCACATGCCAAAAGAAATAAACATTGACCTAAATCTCACACTTTATGAAAAAGTAATTCAAAATGGGTCATAGATCTAAATGTAAAACCATAAAACTTTTAGAAGAAATCACAGGAGAAAATCTGTGACCTTGGACTAGGCAAAGATTTCTTAGAAATGACACCAAAAGCACAACCCAACAAAGAAAAAAAATGTATAAAATTTAGAACTCTTCTCTGAAAAAGACACTGATAGGAGAATGAAAAGATAGCATACAGACTGGGGAAAAATATTTGCAGAGACATATCTGATAAAGGACCTATGTCCAGAATAAAGAACTCTTAAAATTCAACAATAAGAGAGCAAACAAACCAACTTAAAATGAGCAAGAGATCTGTAGTCACTTCACCAAAGAGGACCTATAGGTGGCAAATAAGTCCATGCAAAGATGGTCAACATTGTTAGCCGTTAGGGAGATGGAAATTAAACTACACCAAGATATCACTACAAGCCTATCAGAATGGCCAAAATCAAAACAAAACAAAGAGGAAGATGAACAACAAAAGTGATAAGACCAAATGCTGGTGAGGCTGTAGAACAATCAGAGGAACTCTCACACATTGTTGGGAGGAATGTAAAATGGTACAGTCAGTGGGAAAACAGACTGGCACAGAATTACCACATGATCTAGAAATCTCAGTCCCAGGCATTTATCCCAGAGAAATAAAAACTTATGTTCAGACTTCCTTGGTGGCGCAGTGGATAAGAATCTGCCTACCAACACAAGGGACATGGGTTCGATCCTTGGTCCAGGGAGATCCCACATGCCACGGAACAGCTAAGCCTGTGTGCTACAATACCTGAGTTCACGAGCCACACCTACTGAGCCCATGTGCCTAAAGCCCGTGCTCCACAACAAGAGAAGCCACTGCAATGAGAAGCCCTCCTACGGCAGGCGAGAGTAACCCCTGCTCACTGCAACTAGAGAAAGCCTGCACAAAAAGCAACAAAGACCCAGTGCAGCCAAAAAAAAAAAGCACAATTTATGTTCACGAAAAACTTACACACGCGTGTTTGCATGTGTGCGTGCTCAGTCGCTTCAGTCGTGTCCAACTCTGTGCCACGCTATGGACTACAGCCTGCCAGGCTCCTCTGTGCATGGGATTTTCCAGGCAAGAATATTGGAGTGGGTTGCCATGCCCTCCTCCAGGGGATCTTCCCAACCCAGGGATCGAACCCGCGCTGCCTGCATCTCCTGCACTGCAGGAAGATTATTTACCTACTGAGTCACCTGGTCTCAGTCATGAGTGTTTAAAGCAGTTGTATTCATAAGTGCCCCCAACTGGAAACAACCAGAATATCCATCAACAGGTGAATAAACACACTGTGATACATCTATATGATGGAATGCTATTCAGCAATAAAAAGGAATGAGCTAATAATACAAATCATGAATATGCAACACCAGGGCTTGCTTTCAAAGGCATCTGCTGAGAGAAGAGAAAGCAGCCAGTCTCAAAGGTTACATTACTGTATGACTCCATTTATGAGATATTCTGGAACAGATCTGTCAGGGTTTGGAATCAGGTGGAGTCTGACACAAGGAGTTTTAGGGGGCAATGGGATGACTGTGCATCTTCACTGTGGTGGAATGCCAGAAATCTATGCATGTATGAAGACCCATAGACCTGTATACCATCACCACCACCAAACTTTATTTATTATATGCAAATTTAGGAGATATAGCCCCTTGGTTGTTTTGATCACTAGATCTACTTTGTTCAAATAAAGCAGGTACCTGAGTGGCCTCTCACTCTGGGGTTTGTTCTCTGACTGCAGAAAATACCAAAGTGCCACCTCCTGGCCACCACAGGCGCTGTGAGCTGGTCTGGCAATCACCATTGACAGGATATCCACTGGGGGCAATGCAGAGTGCCAGGCAGCCTGGGGTGGGGATGGAAGTACAGAAGATGGAGAAGGTATACTCTTCTCTTCTACGGGGATTTGTGACCCAGTTGGATGAGTGGAAGAGACAAATACCCAACAGCTGAAGAACTTTTAACAGTTCATGCATTTGGAAGACCATTTAGTCTCATGCCCATATTTTACAGATAAGAAAACTGAGGCTCGAAGACATGAGCTGATTTGCAGACCTTGAAACTAGAACACAAGCTTGCAGACTGACCCAGATCCATGTTCTTTCTATCACAGCAGACTTTTCCAAATATCATGTACAAATGAACATAAGCTGTAAAAATAAGTATCCCTAAATGTCATGGAAATAAACTTTCAGAGAAGGTGAGTTTTTAGGTTGATTTTAAAGAATGCCGGGGATGGTGCTCAAGGGAGAGAAGGGAAAATATTCATGGAATTGGAAATCATTTCACAAACCTACAAAGATCATGGGCTTTAAAAAAAAATATTTATTTTTAATTGATTGATGATTAGTTTACAATACTGGTTTGATTTCTGTCATATATCAACATGAATTAACCGTAGGTGTACCTATGTCTCCTCCCTCTTGGATCACTGGCTTTTTAAGGCCCATGTAAGAGAATATATAAATCTTTCTCTCACTTCGATGTATCTCATCCAGATGATTTTTTGTTTAGTGTATACTTTTTTAAAAAAATAAACTAATTTTATTTTGTTAATTTATTGGCTGCACTACATGGCATGTGGGATCTTAGTTTTTCGACCAGGGGTTGAACTTGCCCTCTGTCCTGCATGGAAGCGTAGAGGTTTAACCACTGGACCACAGGGAAGTTCCTACATTGGCTTTTTAAAAACTTCTTTAAAAAATATTTTATTGAAGTATAATTGATTTACAGTGTAATGTTAATTTCTGCTGTACAACAAAGCGACTCAGTTATACATGGGCTTCCCTTATGGCTCAGCTGGTAAAGAATCCGCTGCAATCTGGGAGACCTGGGTTCGATCCCTGGGTTGGGAAGATCCCCTGGAGAAGGGGAAGGCTACCCACTCCAGTATTTTGGCCTGGAGAATTCCATACACTGTACAGTCCATGGGGTTGCAAAGAGTCGGACACGACTGAGTGACTTTCACTTTCT